CTTAAATTCTTTTTTAAGTCTTTTTTGGGGGGTAATTAAGTTTATTTATTTGTTCGGGGTTTCTTTGCTACTTTTTTAATGGAAGTACTGGTGATTGAATCCAGGACCTCATGCTCTACCACTGAGCTATATCCTCCCCACAACATGATGTTTTAATACATGCATACATTGAACTGATTACCACAGTCAAGCTAATTAATAATTAATATCCATCACCTCACATAGTTACCTTTTGTGTGTATGTGTTTGTGAGCTGGGAACACTTAAGATCTACCCTCTTAGAAATTTCAAGTGTACACTGCAACATTATGAACTATAGTCACTATGCTGTACATTAGATCTCCAGAATAACTGAAATTTTGTACCTTTTGACCAACATCTCCCCCTTTCCCCCACCCTCTGGCAACCACCTTTCTACTCTGTCTTTATGAGTTTGACTTTTTTAGATTGTACATGTAAGTGAGATCATGTAGTATTTGTCTTTCTGTGACTGACTTACTTCCCTTAGCATAATGTCCTCCAGTTTGTCACAAATGTCAGGATTTCCTTCTTTTTAAAGGCTGAATGACATTCCATTATATACATACACCACATTTTCCATTCCTCCATCAGCGGACACTTAAGTTGTTTCCGTATCTTGGCAATTGTGAATAATGCTGCAGTGAACACAGGAGGATAGATAACTCTCTGAGAAACAAATTTCATTTCCTTTGGATATGTACCCAGAAGTGGAATTACATAGTTCTATTTTTTAAATTTTGCGGGAATCTCCATACTGTTTTCCATAATGCCTCTACCAATTTACATCCCGTCAGCTGTGCACTTGAGTTCCATTTTCTCCACATCCTGGCCAGCACTTGTTATCGCTTGTCTTTTTTTTTTTTTTAAGTCTACAAGACTGACTTCTATTTTTTTTTCTTTTACTCAATTATTCTTTTTTTGAGCATTTTTTATAATCTCACATTTTAATTTTAATTTTTAATTCTGGGGGGGTAATTAGGTGTCTATTTATTTTTTATGAAGGTACTGAGGATTGAACCCAGGACCTTGTGCATCCTAGTCACACACTCTTACCACTGAGCTATACCCTCCCCACCTCTTGTCTTTTTGATAAAAGCCATTCTAACAGGTGTGAGGTGGTATCGCATTTAGTTTTGCATTTCCCTGATGATTAGTGGTTTTGAGCATCTTTTCATACACCTTTTGGCCATTTGTATGTCTTTGGAGAAATGTCTATTCAAGTACTTTGCCCATTTTTTAAGTCAGGTTATTTGTTTGCTTCTTTGATTTTGCTATTGAGTTGCCTGAGTTCCTTATATATTGTTAATATTAGCCCCTTCTCAGATATATGGTTTGCAGTATTTTCTCCCATCTCACAAGCTGTCTTGCCAACACTTGTTATTGTCCATGTTTTTGATTACAGCCATCCTAGCACATGTGAAATAGTATTTCATTATGGTTTTGATTTTCATTTTACTAATAACTAATGATATTGAGCATATTTCATGTGCTACTGGCCATTTGTACATCTTCTTTGGGGAAATGCCTGTTGAAACCCATTGTCCATTTTTAAATTAGGTCTATTTTTTAAATGTATATTGATCACAGTTATTTTAAAGCTTGTGTCTAATAGCTCCAATTTCTGAATCTCCTGTGAGTGTATTCCAACTGCTGTTTTTTTTCTTAGTTATTGGTTATTTGATCTTGACTTCTAATATGCTGGTTATTTTAGATTTAATGCCAAAAAGGGCATATGAAAACTTGTAGATATAATTTGAAGATCCTAACTAAAAGCTGGGTTTTCTTCCCCAAGACTTCTCCTCTTGGGCGGGTCTGAACTCCAGTTTTTGACCCCCTTAAGACTGACAAAACCTCTGCTCAGCTCATCAGCTTCTCTGCTTCTAAGCCACCCCTTTCTTACCTGCCTAAGCCTCAAGAGGAAAAGCAGCATCCACATGTCAGGCTTACCTTCTGCTTCTCTTCTCTCCATGAGCCTGGACTTCAAGTCCTTGATGCCTTGGTAGCTCTTCGTTGACTTCTGAAACTTTTCTTCAAGAACACATATTTTATCTGCCTTTTCTACTTGTTCCTGGCAGAAGGTTGGCCTGACACCAGCTGACCCACTGTCACTAGAACTGGAAGTCTTACACCTACTTCTTTCTCACATTTTGTTTAGGCTTGGTTGGTCCTCCGTGCAAGAGTTGGTCATAACCACTTAGCCCACCCTTGCTAGAAGAACAGCACTCATACATTTTACCTTAGAATGTTATGTATTGTTTATTACTAATGCTTTGACATAGGGCAGTCCTTTTCTTGGAGTAAATGTTCACTGATTAGGGTTCACCGGGTCTTGCCTACACCACACCCATAATACAGTCTTTATAGGGTCTAGTTTCCATTTCCCACCCTAATCATTTACAACTATCTCACCCATGCTTAAGTCGATAACCATTAGTTTTAGCAATTCATTTTTACCCAGCTTTTCCAGTGTTCAACGTGGTTTTCATAGAAATAACAATAGTCTTTCTTTTTACACATATTTCATCAGTTTAATTAAATTACATGTTTAATGAAATGTTTAAGTGTTTGAAGTTTAAATGTTTAATAAATTACATGTTTAATTAAATTACGTGATTACAAAAAGTACAACTGGAATATATAGGTTTAAGAACAAACACAACTAACCCTTTGTAAGCACTGAACTCAGTTAGTGGGAGCAGATTCTTACTAGCAGCATGGGTTTGGCAAACCATGAGCATAGGTGAGAATGTTTTGTAGAGGAAATGGAAAGTGCCAATTAGTATGTTCAGTGAGTTAAGTGGATGCTGTGTAAGAGGCCTTTTAGAGGTAAGGCTGGGATAGCAACAGCATATGGGAGAAGTGGAGGAGGAGCCTCGAGGATATAAAGTTCTTAGAACAGTGCTTGGCACATAAGCACTTAATAAGGTTATGCTACGTGATTATTCTCATCATTGTCTGGGAGAGCTGGAAAAAATAGGAAAGAGCTCAGATCTGACACCTCCCCTTGTAGCCCAGCCACTGTTTCAAGCTGAAGCTCTTCTGAAAAGACCTCTTGTATGATACACAAACTGTGGCACACCCAGACAGTGGAATAATCAGCAATAAAATGGGATGAACTATAGATATGCACAGCAATTTGGATGAATCTCAGGACAATACACTGAAACGAACGAGGCCAGTCTCAAAGGCTGCACACTATATGATTCATTTATATGAAAGTCGTATCAAAGGCAAAACCACAGTACAGCAGTGGAGAACGAATCAGTGGTTGCCGGGGGTTAGGAGTTGGGAGAGGATGTGACTACAGTGGGAGAGCACAAGGAATTTGGGAGGTGGGGGTTGTTCCGCATCCTGGTTTTGGTGTTGGTTATTAAAATCTATACATGTGTTCAAATTTATAGATATGTATACCAAAGACAACCAAATTCACTGTATGTTAATTACTATAAAACTAAAACTTTAACTAGTACTGTGGAGAGCATCCTAGTGTCTAGGCATCCAAGCTGGCCTGGCCCCAAGTGTGGCCTGACTGGCTCTATGTCCAAACAGCGTATCTGCTCCCAGGCTTTGTTCCCTACCTGGGCCCTTGTCATTCACTGGCTTTTTTCTTCCTTGTGTTAGATTGGAGCTGGAGGCAGCATCACTGGGCTGAAGTTTAACCCTCTCAATACCAACCAGTTTTTCACCTCCTCAATGGAGGGAACCACTAGGCTGCAAGACTTTAAAGGCAACACTCTCCGAGTTTTTGCCACCTCAGACACCTGCAAGTGAGTAGTTTAACTAGGAGGGAAAAGGGCTTCTAGGCTCTCGGTGTAGTTCTGGTGAAAGCATCGAGATCCCATTTCTTTTACCCAAACCTGGCACAGGGAAGAAAGGAAAGGTGTTAGCGCCTTTCCACCTTCCCCTCCCTTCCTCAGGCTCTGTCTTTAGCTGCTCTCCCCCTGGGCCTGGTGTGGCAATGCCTCCAGGAGGGGTTCTGGAGCCTGCCTCAGCTTCTCTCAGCGAGGGAAGGGCTTCAGCTCTTCTGTCAGTCCTTCCCATATGAGACTAGACCTTGATTCTCACTAGACAAGTCAGCATGGCATTGGCCTAGAAAGCCACTTAAAGTCTAGAGAAGGAGCTCAGAACTTAAGATTCCATTCCCTATGTTCACTGGGTTGCAATGACCTGACCATTTCCTTGATGGAAGCTTAAATGGGCAGAATGCCCACAGAGAAAGTGGCTGGAGAAACAAAATGCGTGTCACTTTGATTTTGAGCCAGAGACACTGGCTCAAAACTCTGCTCCCTAAGCAATTGAGAGTGTGGAGGTCTAACTAGCACTGGACCTTATTCTGGGCTGCCCCACAGGGGTAAGAAATATGCAAGCAATAGGACAGGTGACAGGATGGACTCAGCTCCATCTTACTCTTCCACAGGAAGCCCTCCCTATGAAAGATATTTACACGGGATGCAAAAGGCAGTGTAGCAAGGATTAGAGGGGGAAAAAATGTGAATCTGAGCTCTCCTGGCTGGCTCTCAGGATCCCTGAAGTACTCCCCACCCCCCATCTCTTCATCCTCAGGTAGTCTCAGGACAAAAGAGCAAGATGCAGCTTCTGGGTTGTGTACGCGTTTCCCCCTAAATGCTCAGAAGGGGGCAGAAGTTCCTTACAGGACAACTGTGAGGAACAGGGCTAGACAGTCCCTGTTTGGTGTGGACGATGGAGAGTAAAGGGAGAAAGCTATAAATGAGTCCTCCTCAGAACCCAGGACTGTAGTGGGCAAGCCAGCCTGGGGACCTGCCTTATGGCTCTGGCTTTGTCCTCTTCAGGATCCTGAGGATCCTGAGCCCAGCAGTAACTGGACAAGTTTCTGAGCCCCACCACCCCCATACCCTCTATCTAGACGGTAGACAAATCTGAGTGTTTCTCACTGGGAGCCCATGGCAGGTTATTCATTGATTCAACAAATATTTATTGACAGTCTACTATATGTCTGACATGAGCTTCAACAGTGAATAAATGGAATTTGACTCTGTACTCAAGAATCTTACAGCACGGTCTCTCCCTCCAGCATCTGGTTTTGCAGCCTGGATGTGTCTGTCAAAAGCCGAGTGGTGGTCACAGGAGACAATGTGGGGCATGTGATCCTGCTGAACATGGATGGCAGGGAGGTGCGTTCCCTGAAGCCAGGTCCTCCCCCTACCTCCCTGACCCCCATCCTCGGTTCTGTGTCCCCTCCTGAACTGAGCTCTTCTCTGCAGCTTTGGAATCTGAGAATGCACAAAAAGAAAGTGACCCATGTGGCCCTGAACCCATGCTGTGATTGGTTCCTGGCCACAGCCTCCGTAGATCAAACAGTGAAAATCTGGGACCTGCGCCAGGTTAGAGGGAAATCCAGCTTCCTCTACTCGCTGCCGCACAGGCATCCTGTCAATGCAGGTGTGATATACCAGATCTCGTCCTTCCTGCAGACCCTGCTGACCCGACCGCTTCTAGGCTTTTCCCTCAAAGTGTAGAAGCTACTGGGCCAAACCTTTACCCCTGAAAACATCAGCCAAGCTGATGTCTTGGGACCTTTCTGACTGTAGCTTCCTCCATCAGCTGCTGAGTTTGTGGGATGTTTTTGTTTGCAGCCCAGATTCACCTCCCTTCCACCCCTGTCTATTGAGGAGTGGGAGGGAGGGTGCCCCTGCAAGAGGCCTGTGACGGTCAGGACAACAGGGGGCCTGTGGTTCCTTGAGCTCAGGGGCTTTTCACTTTGCCAGCTCATTTCAGTCCCGATGGAGCCCAGCTCCTGACCACTGACCAGAAGAGTGAGATCCGGGTTTACTCCGCCTCTCAGTGGGACTGCCCCCCAAGCCTGATCCCGCACCCTCACCGCCACTTTCAGCACCTGACACCCATCAAGGTAAGTGAGGAGGGGACAGGAGCTGTGATCACAGGACGGATCAGGTCTATCCAGGGAGGGGAGAAGGGGGCAGAAATGAAAGCCTTTAAGCCCAGATCTCTTTCTGCCCTGAGACAAAGCGTCTCTTATTCTCTGGCTCTCTGCTCTGTTTGTCCCAGCTCTCTGATCCCATTTTGCTGAGTTTTCTTCATGTCTCTTTAACAAGCTTGTTTTCCTGCATTTTTCCCACACCCAGATCTCCTCACTGCGAGCACTTTCTAAGACCCTGGCCTCTGTTCTGTCCTCCACTTCAGTTAACTAACTGCATGCAGCTGACCTTAGCTCTCGATAGCAGGTTCTCTAGCCGCAGTCCCCAAGGCTTAGTCTTCATGTCTTGTGATTCCTTCCTGCCCACGCCCCTAGGCAGTCTGAAATCTGCCATTATTCTGTTCTATGAGTGTATATTCTTTTCTAGAACCACAGCCCCTCTTCAGACTTCCAGGTCTCATGCCTATACGTCTTTGGTCAGTATAGCATAGTTCAGGCAGGCAGACCCCCTCTGGGGTAGAATCCTTGAGCAAATTGCTTACATTTTGGATCCCAGTTTCCTCATCTATAAAGAGAATAATAGTATCTGACCAACAGGGTTGCTGTGAGGATGAAGCAATATACTCAAAGAACATGGCACCTTGCTTAGCACCTAGTAAGTACCCAGTAAACAGTGATTTAGCATTAGAGTGGCCCCCACGTACCTCAGGTTAAATCCAAGGTCTCAGTAACATCAGGGTCCTGCACCAGAAGGCGTTCCCACTGATCCTTCTGTCCTCATCTCCCACTTTGTATCCAGCCGGCCAACTGACAGCATCCCACATGTGACTTGAAGACTTATGGCCAAGCCATTGCCTGTTCTTTCTTCCTGCTGATCATGTCTTTTCTCCTTCAAAACTTCCTTGCAAAGCTTTCTTTGGGAAAATCCCAGTCAGTCCCATCATTCCAGTAACTGCAGGATTTGTACTGAGCAGGGTGGTCTGGGGAACACAGGTGTCCAACCCCCTTTTCAGCCACTAGCCATTTTCTTTTCTTTTTTTTTTTTCACTAGCCATTTTCTATTCAACTCATCATTCACGTTGATAGAGGGAGAATAGTGGGATTACTTCAGAACTTACGTCCTGTTTGGTTTTGGTTATCAGATGCTTTTCAATTTGTTGTAGGGTTACCTCTTTGGTAATGGCTCGGGCTGATGTTAATTAAAACATTTATCACTTGGTATGATCCCCAGAAATACAAAGGAGAGAGAAGGCCTGAAGGTGTTCTGAGGGTCAGGGAGGCCACCTGAGGATTTTAAATTTGCAGTGGTAGATGCACACGCACTTGAAAATTACTCCTGTCATTTCATGTAGGTCTTATCACCATTATTAACTTGGCAGTTGTATTAACAATCGTTGTTAGTGGCAAAGACACTTCTGATGGCCCTCTTGACTGTTCCGCATTTACTCTTGTGACCAGTCTCTCCATCTCCTAGGCAACCTGGCATCCTCGGTACAACCTCATTGTCGTGGGCCGATACCCAGATCCTAATTTCAAAAGTTGTACCCCCCATGAATTAAGGACGATTGATGTGTTTGATGGAAGCTCAGGAAAGATGATGTATCAGCTGTATGACCCAGAATCTTCTGGTATCATGTCGGTGAGGCTTGGGCCCTCAAATCATGGGAGGAAGCAGGGATTCAGCCTACCTTATTGACCAAAAATGACCAGAAATTAGTCCTCATGTGCTGTTCTCCCAATACCTTCACCCACTCCTCATGCTTATCCCCTTGTCTCTGCAGCTCAATGAGTTCAATCCCATGGGGGACACGCTGGCCTCCGTGATGGGTGAGTGTATCTCAGGCTGGTCAAGCCCACCCTACTTCCCAAGGTTCAGTACAGGCTAACCCCAGCTTTGCCCTGTCACATTCACCCCAGAGCTGTAGTCAGTAAAGAAGATAACCAGGAGACAGTGGTCTCTTCGGCCTGGGCCCTTCATTCCTTCTGCTTTGTCTTCGTCACAGCAGTGCCTGGTTGCTGTCCAGTTTCCTGGTGTCGCCTTACCGAGTCCTAGGTTCCCTGGGCCAGCCCCAAATTCTCAGAGGCTAATAATGGAAGGTGCGAGTCAGACTGGTCTCATCCCTTCTAGGTTATCACATTCTCATTTGGAGCCAGGAGGAAACTGGGATGCGGAAATGAGAGACATTAATGAAGGTGGGGGCCAAGCAAGGGCTTGGAGCCACATGAGAACAAGTCCTGCGAGAAGAGGCGGCTTTGTGTTAAAGGGCCAGAGGTATCCAAGCCTTAGGGTTGGAGCAGGGGCACTGGGACTGGGAAACTGGCATGTTACTGCTCGGGACTTAGCTCCAGAAATTTCTCCAGAGTTGGCGACCCAGCTGCCCCAAGGGTCGCTGCTGTATCTATCCTGCAGCCAAGCTTCTTGTCTTTCTCCTCTCTGACACACAGTGGCAGAGTGATCAGGTAGTGGGTTTTGATTTGCGCTCACTATTGACATAGCCAATAAAACCATACCCAATTGAGCTTCTGAGTGGATCTTCCAGCACTGACCTGTTCAAAGGGCTTCTCAGGTCCCCAAAATGAAGACAAGGCATAGGAACAGCACTGAGTCCAAAATCTTCATTCTCTGTCTCAGCCCTATTCTGGGCCACAGTCAAGAGCTGTCCAGCTGCACATACCTCGGGTCCCTGGAGATCCCAGCCCAGCTGACAGGGATAGTAGTTTCATGATTCAGTACCACAGTCCACCCCCCCCACCACCTCCCTGACTCTTTCCCAAGTACAAACATCCTTCTGACCTGCTCAAACTGCAGGGCTGACAAAGATGAGAAGCATCATGTCTGACTCTAAAGGTGGCTTCAGCTGAACAAAGGAAAACTTGGCTGGCTCTTGGGTGATCCAGTTCCTTGGTGGCCAGTGTTAGTACTAGACCCCCAATGTTGTGCAATTTTTCCCACTAAAATAAGCACTGAGAGGCAAGACTGTGTCCTCTGGGCCATTTGCCAAGGACTCCAGGCTGGAAGAGTGAGCAGAGCTTGATGGAGAGGCAAAGCAGATCAAGCACCAACTCCTTCAGTCTTTTTTATCCCAGGTCCTGAGTGAAACCTCAATACCTGTCTACATTTCAGGTCCTTAGGGGAGCATAGAGCAGGCAAATCCTGTTTAGAGAAAGCCAATGTCCAACACAGTACTTGGTAAACATCAGGCACATGAATGCTGAGTGAGGTGCCATGGACCAAGCTGAGCCCCACTTGTTCATCTAGGTTGGGGTAGTCAGGGGGAGGCCCAACCCAGGGTCTCTTGTCCATGGGCTGGGGAGCAGCAGTGTCAGGTGCAAGGGCCCAGCCCACCTCCCCTAGGAGGCAGAGGGAAGGGGGCTGAGTGGTTGTCAGGCATGATCCTCCCCGTCTGCGATGTGGCGGTAGCCAGGGGGCTGGGCCTGCATCCGGAAGAGGACGGTGAGGAGCAGCACTATGAGAAGGAAGAGGATGGAGCCACATACAGCCAAGGCCACAATCACCTCTGAGCACCGGGTTGGGTGAGGGGGAGAGAAAGGTCACGTCAGTGTTCATTCAACAAATATGAGTGCCCACTACATGCCGGTGCTGTTCTTACAGTGAGGGTATCACAGCTGGCCAAGACGAAGCCTGCCTTCGTGGAATTTACCTTCTAGGAGAGGAGATGCCATCCACAGGCAAATTATAGAAATGATAGGTTAGTGGCAAATGCCATAAAGAAAATAAAACAAGGTAAGGGGGAAATGAGGGAGAGAGACGTAGGTCAGTCAGGGAAGGTGTCACGGAGAAAGTGACAATTTGAACAGAGACCTGGAGTCACTGAGCGAGACATACAAAAGATCTGAGAGAAGAGTGTCCTCAGGGAGGGGGGAGGGGAGGGGAGGACAGGAAGCGAATGCAGAAGGGAATCAGCTTGGCATATTCTAGGACCAGCAAGAAAGTCAGTATGGCTAGAGCAGAGTACATGAGGGGCAAGTAGGAGATGAGGGCAGAGGACCAGACCAAGTAGGGCCTGAAAGGCCATGGTCAATAACTTGGGATTTTATTCCAAATGTGATGGGAAGCCACTGGAAGATTCTGAGAAGGGTAGTGAAGGGGACTGATTTATGTTTTTAAAAAATTAACTCTGCTGTGCTGATAGACTGGTAGGGCCAAGAACAGAACCAGTGAGCAGGGAGGGTGTAGCTCAGTGGTAGAGTGCATGCCTAACATGCACAAGGTCCCCACTTCAATCCCCAGTACCTCTATTAATAATAAATAAACCAATAAGTAAATTAATAATTCGACATTATAGTAATAAAAAATAAAGAAACCAAATAAATAAGAAAACCTAATTACCGCCCCCCAAAACAAAAAGAGTAGACCCAGTAAGAACATTAGGAAGCTTTTCAGTAATTCAGGCAAGAGATGATGGTAGACTGGACTAGGGAGTGAGAGCTTGGGCTTGAAAGACTGGGCTGATAGGACCTGCTAGTGGATTGGACGTGAGGTCTGAGAAAGCGTATTCAAGATAGCTCCTGGGGTTATGCTATGCACCTAGGTGCTAATGCAGCATTTACTAAGATGGGGAATCCTGGAGGAAGAGCAGATTTGGGGGAAGAGCATTTGGTTTTAGACTTCAACTGTGAGAAGCCTTAGTTGACATCCATGTAGAGACCTCAAGTCAGCAGCTGGATATGTAAGTCTGCAGCTCAGAGAAGAGGTCATGAATCTGTGAGTCATAAAAAGACAGAACTCAGCATGGAGATGGTACCTAAAGCCATAAGGCTGGATAAGCTCACCTTGGGAGTAGGCATCGATGGGGAAAGGGCCAAGAAGAGCCCTGGGCCATCCACTGGTTAGTCGGGAGGAGAAGCCAATAAGGAAGCTACCTGTGACTTAGGAGAAAAACCAGAGAAGCCAAGAAAGTGTTTAAGGAAGGAGTGACCAATTCTGTAATGCTGCTGAGAGGTCAAGAGAACCTGACTAAGAATTGGTCACTGGCTTTGGTAAGAGGTCATTGGTCCTTAACAAGAGGGGCTTCCATGGAGTGGCAGGTAACACAAGATTTCCAGCACGAGTCTGAGAGATGGGGAGGTGAGGAAGCAACACCAGAGTCTAGGCAACTGTTTGAAGGATTCTACTCTACAAGGGGAGAAAGAAGTGGAGTGGTAGCTGGAGAGAGGTATGGGCCAAAGAGGCTTTTGTTAGGCTCTGAGATGGGACTGATCCGGCAGAGTGGAAACACTGAGCATCAGGGGTCCGTGTGGAGGTGAGAAGAGACAGACCCAGAGTGTAAGTGGAAGGCTGGCCCAATGCGGTGGCTCGTACCAGCAAGTAAGCTGGAAGACCTGGTGGCGGGAGAATGAGACGATTCTCTCCAGGTCACTTTGTTTTCTCAGTGGTGTGAGAAGGGGCGTCCGCTGAGGGCAAGGAGTAGGTCTCAGGGTGGAAAGGTGAACAGTCTAGGGACATGAAACAAGATGACAGGAAGTGTGTCCACTCTCTCGAGACCTGTGGGTATGAAGTGAAAGTTGTCCTGCGACACGGCTGGCAGAGAAGCAGGTAGCAGCTCACCTGTGTCTGCAGTACCGCTTGCCAGCTGGCACTCCTGCTGCCAATCCTTGGGCACGACAGGCTCCGTGAGGCGAAGGAAGTCCTGTAGGGGGCAGCGGTGAGGGCAGCCAGGCAGGGTCAGTGGCCAGGGGGCCTTCTTACTCTCGTTCCGAAAGTACATCTCCACTGAGAAATTCCTGAGGGTTCATGGGAGACAAGATGGGAGCTGCTCACCAGGCCAATAACGGGGTCCTCAGGCTGCCCACAGCCACCACGTAAGGTGCCCCTCCTGAGGGCAGACTGGTAGCTCCACTCACCCGTTATCTTCCTGGTACAGTTCAAATATGTGGCAGGACGCGTAGGGGGCTTGTTCACCATTGTAGACGTCCAGAGCCATTTGCAGAGCAACCAGAGTGGTGTCATGCTGTAAGGGAGAAGGGCTCCCCATCAGCACTGCCCCACGCCCAGCACTGAAGAGAGAAGAGACTCGAGAAGAGACCCAGCTCCCCGAGGGACGTTAGCAAGCTGGGGAGGGTGGGAGCTTACCGCAGAGTAGACCAGCAGCTTAGGGAGTTGGGAGGTGGTTGCCATCAGGGTCAGGTTCTTCCGTATCTGAGCCAGCAGGACTCCTGAAGGATAAAAGTCCCCAGCGTCAGTGGCTACAGCCACTCGGTCTTCTGACCAGACCTCTCTGTGGTCCTCTCACCCTCCGACAGTCCTGAGTCTGATCCCCAGCACAGAGAACGCTTTAGGTTCATGGCAACCACACAGGGACTCTACAGCACCCCCTGCTGTCTGCAAACTTCCACATTTACAGAAAGCAGCAAGATAAAACAAGATATCTATTTATAGTTCAACACAGATGGAGAAACCTGCCCATTTATTTATAAATGAGCTACAATAAGGCCCTGCCCATGTTTGAAGACTTATTCCAGCTGGGGATAAATATCAACTTAAGACTGCTTCAGAGCACACAAGATGCTGACTCCAGGCCAGGGGAACTCTGTCATGTGCAGGCTCTGAAAACTACTGAGATGTCAGAAGGGTTTGCCAGCTGGCACACCGTTGGGTGTTCAAATCAGGAAACTGGCGTGTGTATTACTCTCAGCCTTCTTTCAAAGCGGCCCCCAGTGGTCCTCTGGGGATAGGTATTCATTTGAGGAGGGGGAGGGTCCCCTGACACGGGTGAAACTTAAGAATATGAATGGCAGAAATGAGACATGCAAACCTAGTTGTGGTCATACACTGACAAACGTGCTAAGCACTTGGAGAACTGAGGAGACTTTGATGACTAACGGGAGAACTAGGGGGATCCAGTCCTGAAAGAGCAGAGAACATCTCAGGTAGAGAAGGAAGCACGTGAGAGGCCCAAACAGCAGATTTCTGATGCTGTAGGGTGCTGAACAGGGGAGTGACATGCTGCTCTTGTCACTCACCCCCCTGCAGCCGGGCCTTTTCCGCCTGCTCGTAGATCCCGAAGAGGAAGCGGAAGCTGAAGTCCTTGAGCCGGCTCAGACGCTGCATGGTTTGGGGCGAGGCCCAGGGCGGCAGGACCAGACTGTGTGTTTGCTGTGTATGGTAGCGGGCAGGTTAGCTCCCCACCGAGGCCAGAGCCTCTCCCCGGAGCAGCTCCCTTCCCTGGTGGGATGGTGCTTGTGTGTGTGTGTGAGGGGAGGGAGGGGAGAGACACAGGAGCTAGAACCAGGAGACATGATGGACCGTGTCGAGGCTGCAGGGAACAGGAGAGGAGGCTCGGGCACAAAAAGGATGACTCAGCAGGACGGAGTCAGATACCATGAGAGCTCTGGGTGGAGAGAAGTAGGAACTGCTGACGATCAATAAACTATTTCCCACTCTGAGGTTCTTCTTCACGCATGAGGGAAGTTCCCTTGTTTCACAAGAGGCGGCTTGCCTGGACCTCCCGTGGGAATGGTATACAAGCACTGTGTTCTACGGGCCCGGTCACCTGGGCCTGCTGAGGTGTGAGAAAAGCAGTCACACCGGGGGACCCTGAGCCAGCTCACCTCACAGAAGAGTGTGTCGTAGACATTCCAGACGGTCTCCAGGGTCAGGTCCGTAAGCCCTGTCTCGTTGGCCACCATATCCAGAAATTGCTACGAAAAACGGATCAGGGAATTGGTCCTGCTCTGGGGGAAAGGGCAGTGTGGTGACCTCCACCTCAGCCCTACTCACTGCATTCTGAATACTCTCATTCTGATACTCTGGTGTCCGCCGGGTCTCATTCTGCAGCTGCTCAAAACGGGGACATGGGCCCAACGGGAACTTCAGCAGCTGCAGACCGAAGAGGGAACGCAGAGGCAGAGAAGGAATCAGGGATCAGCGGGCCAGTGGCCAGAGCTGTCCCTCCCACCATCTCCAGGGAAGGGCTGGCCAGTCTTACCTTGTCTTCGGCAATGGGCACAGTGTGGACAGGGATAGGCTGCCAAGAGATGTTTGGGTTAAAGCGCTGCATCCCGTTGGGAGGGAAGAGTCCAGCCAGGTTGGCCTCAGCACTCATTAGGGTCCGGTCAAAGTCTGTGCTTCGCACATAAACCTGGAGAGATGACAACACGAGCCCCACCTGTGGGGACAGGGTTGTGGAGCTCTGGCCCCTCAGTGGGGCCCCAGAGGAGGACCTGTTCTTGATGGTTACCCAGCAGAATGTGAATCCACCATGCATCTGGCCCTCTCCCTCTCTCTGGCCTTCCCTGTCCCTCTTCCCAGCCAAGGTCCAAACACTCACCTGAGGATTGACTGTCCCCAGCCTGTGAAGAACTTCTTTGGGAATGGTTCTAGTTCAAATGCCCCTCCCAGTCCAAAGTGCTTAGTCAATAAGGCTCTCAGCTCTGTCGGTCTGTCTTCCTGGTTTTATAACCACACCTGTCTTCCTATCTAGGCCAGAGTCCTTGAGGGTAGAAACTATCTCCAATCACAGGTTTATAACAGGCTTAGAGACCAGGAGAGGAAATAAGATAGGAACAGAGATAATTGTGAAAAGGGAGGAAGAAGCTGAGAGGAAGGGCAAGGTCAGGATAGGGCTGGCCCTCAAGGAAACATTAACAACATCTAGAAACAAAGATCATATCTGTATGGTGTACCATTACATTCAGTGCTAGCATAGTGCCTGGCTCACAGTAGTGAGACTTGGATGGAAAGCTTGAGTTATTTTACAGCATCAGAAACTATTCTGCCAGGCCCTTAAGTCTAAGCTTGGATGCTTGATCAGTTTTGCCTCTTCCCAAGCCAAGCAGGGGCAACTCAGCCTCTAGGGTTTTGTTCTAGACAGCCCTTGGATGTCTTGTCCTGTAGCTGTAACCAAAAATGCATGACAGGAGGCCAGAGTGCTCAGCCTCACCCTTAAGCTCCCTGAGGGCAGAGGGTGAAAAGAGCAGATCCCATGCCCCTTGTCTCTCAAGCTCCCAGCCTTACCTCTTGCCGTAGGTAAGAGGTGTTGAGGAAGCCATTGTAGCGCTGTCGCAGAGCCCGGCCCAGCTCCCAGTGTTGGAGCATCCCCTCCTGTGGACAAACCCAAGGGTTAAGAGGCCCAGAAGGAAGAGATGGCTCACAGGTCCCAGAGGGCTTAGCCAATGTTGCTTTCCAAGTTTCTGGCTTGAAGTAGGAGTGGGTTAATCTTATCCCAGAAGTCATTTATTAAGTGCATGGCATGGTATACAACCATTTTGATCTGAGTACACATGAAAGTAAGGTTAAGAAGTGTGGTCAGAGTCAGCACCCACAAAGGAAATAGCAGTTTGGTGAGGCCCCAGGTTCTGCAGCCTGCTCTAGAAGTCACTCATCCTGAGGGAGAGCTGGCTTCTGACCTACCTTGGTTAGCTGACCAAACCCCTGGGGCCATTTGTCTTCCTGATGGGGGTCCTTGGGATATGTCTTCACTGGGGAACGGTCTCCATGTCGGTACAGCTGAGGAAAGAAAGTGGTTACCTACAGTTAGAAGGATGTCCTTGATGCAGACACAGGGCTCCACCTCTGCCCCATGTCGGGAGGTAAGCCTCACCTCTACCCTCTGCAAAAGACCCCAACTCAGAAGTCAATAACTTCTTCCAGGTTCCAGAGATCCTAACTTGGCTAAGCAATGCCACTTAAGACCATAGGCAAAAAACCAAAGGTACAGATGGGAAAGGAAAAGAGAAAAACAATGCAGATGGTGGGGGAAACTGGAAAAAAATCACCAAAGGCTTCTTTAGAAGTGCGTCTTTTAACCTTTCGACTACATCCCTGTCCCAGGACAGACTTACCCAACCTATTCCCTGACTTAGAACTCCTTACGCCCTGCCCCCAAGATACCCCAGGGCTTCACAAGAATTCCAACCCCAGGCCCCCAACCCCGCAGGTTAGTCGTCTCCTCCTAAACCAGCTCCTCCAGACCGCTGACCGCAGCAAAGCCCCGCCCCTCCTTCCCCTCGCAGGCCGGTGCCCTCCTAGCGCTGGCGAGCCCTTTGGCGACCCCATGTCTCATTACCAAGGTAACGAAGCGCAGACTCCGGGCCTGGGTAGGTGGCATCACCATCAGGTTCACTCCAAGAAGGAGCTGGAGAAGAGCCGCTCGGCTCCAGCCAAACCGTCTGCCCGCCATCACCTCTGTAGTCTATGCAGCAAAGTGGCTGGAACCCTCGAGGCAGCACTTGCAGCATCCGCCCGGACGCACCCTTAAGGACACGCCGGAAATGCGCTCGCCGCCATCTTGCTAAAGGAGGGGCAGGGGTAGTGGGAGGAGGAATCTGGGAGGGAATTCCTGTAGGAGGTTCGCTATTCGGCGGTGGCGGAGGAGCGTGGGAATGTAGCTCAACCTCGCGCGGCAGAAAGAGCTTGAAGACCTTGTGTTGGTAAAGAGAACCCTGAGCTCGGGTTTGCCTCTGCCCGCGGACGCCCGGTACCAGGGTGGCTCTTGTATGGTGGCCGGGAGAGCGAGCTCCCCCTCGGGCTGGAGTGCTGCCTGGGCTAACCCAGAGCTAGAGCGGGTGCAGAATTGGGGCGAGGGTTGGTATAGGGCGCCTCTTTCCACACCTCTGCCTTCGGGTGGAATTTGAGCTTTGGCCTGGCTCTCTTCCCCGGAAGAAGCCTTGTTTGGAGTGCAGGGCACAGCGTGTAAACAGCCCTTTGGCCTCCCTGTGCCCCTGAGGTTGGTCCCAGTCTAGTCTGCTGCTCATGCCCTGAGCAAAGCTTAAGGAACCCTTTCACTTACCCTTCCAGTTCTTTTCCTGCCTTCCCATCCGTTCACTTCTAAGTTTTAGTTAATTAGAATCTCGATGACATGCCTCTTCTCAAAGGAGTTGGGTTGCTCAGACTGCAAAACCAAAGCACTGAATCCCTAGGGGAGGAATTTCAGACCAATGGGGAGATACATAGGAGTAAGGCAAGGGACATATCATAAAGTGAGAGTAGATGGGATTTCTGCAGAATCAGAGGGCCAAGAGGGCCTTGGCATTGACCATTAGGATAAAGGTGCTGCCAGCTTGGCTTTAGTGCTTTGTGATTCTGAGCTAGGAGTGACTCACAGCTCCAGGAGGTCAGATCTTAGGCCCTTGGAATGCTTTGATTCAGATCTGCCCTCTAGTAGCAAATTATCTCAGTTCACTGGAGAAATAAAACCTGATCTGAACATACTGGAGAAAGCAGGGTCATTATCTTGCCCCAGGAGTCCAGATTGAATTATTTATATACACCTCAGGATCTAAACCTTGCTTCCAGAATTGTTATGGAGGAGTGAATAGAAATTGAGAGCTGAGGGATGAGTAGTCAAATAGTTCTTAACCTTCTTATTTAGTCACAAGTCCCCTATGAATCAGATGAAAATTTAGTCCCCTCTCCTCCAGAAAAATGTCTACATACACAAACACACAGAAATGGAATTTTGCTTATAATCTCAAGAGGCTCATGAAGACCATCGATAGGCGTCATAAATCAGCAACTCTGAATCCCTGATCTAATCTAGCCCCCTTACTTCGCAGATAAGAAAACAAACCCAGAGAGAGAAAGTGACTTGTCCAAGGTCACAGTGTAGGAAAATGGATTTGTCAACTGAAAAAAAAAAAAGCACAGCCTAAAAGTTGAGAATTATGTTTTATTTGGTGGACTTTCTGAAGCCTTCAAGCCCCGGAGAAAGCCTCTCAAATAACCCTAAGGGACTATGAAAGGAGCTAGGATATATAGGAGTTTTTGCAACAAAGTCGAAGACAGAAGATAGTTGGAACATCAAAAGATTACTGTTAATTAAAGAAAAGCAGACATTTCAAGGAGTTTAGCACTTTTCTATGTATAGGAAGATGTAAGAATCTGGGCTCATTGAAATCATTCCTTTGATATGCACCTCAGCAATCTAGGGTCAGTATCCTGTGATTTCCCACCCTGAGTCTCCTCAGGGTATATCTTCGGGGGTGGCTGCAGTGGCTGATGGCTTGATGGTGGGCATCCTGTTTCCATCCTGAGTTCCCTCAGGACTCACCATTGGGGGTGGCTGCAATGTGGTGGCTTGATGGCTGCAACACCCTTTGTTTACTGATATGGAGGCAACATTTTTCATTCACAGATTAAAACTCAAGTTTTCTGATTTGCAGTCAAATAGTCCTTATAATGGGCTGTTACTCACAGGCTACTCAAACTGCATTGCTATCAGCAGCCCCAAAATATTTTCAATAAAGAGATTTGTAGCAAAGGAAAACTTTTTACATTGGTGGGTTGAGTGGGGCATGGCTAATTGGCAAAATTCTGCATATAGTGGGATTTTTTAGTGTTTTATTTTAATATTCCCCTTATTCTCCTTGCAAACTAGCCAGACCATTGTGATTTCAGAATGTAAACCTCGGGTTCTCTAAATTTTGGCAAGTAGAACAAAATCCCTCAAATTCATCTTTTGCCCTTCTTCCCACTTGCTCAAGTATGTCTATATTCTTTGTGCCTCCAAGTATCCCATGTAGAGGGGAATTGATGGAGAAGATATTATTTCAGTTTTTTATAGTGAGAAACAAGCCCAGGAATGGTGAGGATTACACCACACATGGTAGAGCCAAGAGCTGATTTCTTGACCCCCAGTTTCTGCATATTTTCGACCAGATGATTCTGTCTCCACACTTTGGAGACAGAACTAACTACAAATGCAAAAAGAATAGACATGTAGATGGATGGATGGATAGATAGATGGATACATGGGCCTACCTCAGAATAAATAAATCAGAATCTTTGAAAATGAGGCCAAGTTTGGGAATCACTGCTCTACCCTGTGTTGGCAGAAGTGAACCTAAATCCAGGTGAGTTAACTGTTTGTCCCATCTGAGGAGGCAGTTCTGTGTAATGGAGTGAGGTGGGATTTTTGTTTGTTTGTTTTGAGTTTGAGCTTTCAAACCAGCTATACTTGTATTCAAATTTGATATTTGCCTACTTGGTAGTAACCATCTTTTAGAGCTATATATAAGGAGAAATACAATAATACATGTAAATATAAATGTATGTAGTAGGGCCTAATAAATGTTACTTCTTTCCTTTTTGCCATCTATGTCATCTCTGACCTCATAGGCCTGGGAAGCAGGAATCCCTGGGTTCTTCTCTATCTTGTGATTGGGAGGTTTGGCAGAAGTCACTTGAGTGGCCTGCAAGATGACCCCCATATTTTGCACCTTTCCAGGATGGTGAAGGAGGGAGCAAGAAGCCTAAGTTGCCTAAGCCCATCCCTGCAAACCACATCTTGTGGCCTACCTCATGGGAGTGTTCTGGGGGGAGTTACCCAATAGTTTGCAGGACTGTGGGCTAGTAAATGCTCCTATTTCTGCTTCAAGATTCCCCTTGTGGCAAGAAAAAGCCTGTGGAGGTTCTGGAAGTCAGAAATGTGACCTGAAAGATCCTCAAATGTGGATGTTGCCTCCTCTCGGGGCCAAGAAAACCTAGGAAAGGCCCCCCGGGACTTGGAGGCTTTGGACCTAACACTCCTGTAGGCTGGTGGGACTGTGCCGTGGGTGGGGTCTGGCAAAGTGAGACGTGTGATTCCTACTGCAGATCCCCTGACTACTTGCCCTGGCTTGGGATAGAATTCCCGGGGATTAGTCTCCAGAACCTCTGTGGAGATACTGCCAGTAGGTTTTGGTCTTGCCCCATTTTGTCCTCCCTTCCCCTCTTCATGAGGAGGAGGCTCCTGAACCCCTGTAACCTGAAGGGGTAGCTCCAGCAGTAAAACACTGCTAATGCTTCCTTCTCCTTTACTTGTGAGCAGGCTGAGGCTGACTCCCTGGCGTGGGGGAGATGGCGCCCTGACCTGCTTGGTCAGCAGCTGGCTCTAGCCTGGGTCATAGGGCTCCACATGTAGCTTGTGTGTGGTCCTGGGCTGTGGCGAGACTAGACTATCAGGAGAGGGAGTTGAGAATCAGAAGTGAATGAGAGGTTTCTCCCAACTCCCAGAAGATAGGTCATCAGAACCTAGGCCAATGTTCCATCCCACGTTCCTTGTACCCTAGAGTATCAGTGACATCGCCCTGCTGACTCTGCCTCTATGCTGGAGCTTCTGGGAATGGGGAAAGGTGGAGGAGGAAGCTGGATCAATGATGTGGGTACTGGGACAGAACAGTTCCAGTTTCGCAGGGGCTACAGTCCCTGGTTTCTACTTTCCCAGGACAGCTGGGGCCTTGTGAAGATCGGGGAAAGAACAGAAGTAAGAGGAATGGAGAGCCTTGTGCTCATGACTCAGAGATGCCCAGACCAGGGTGGGGGCCTTGTCAGGGGACAACCTTGTGATGAGAGGGAACAAGAGCAAAAACTGGAGGCAGAACTTTGAGATGGGGGGGTGTCAGAGGGGCTTTTCTGAAATGTGAAAATGAATACATGGGCAGATTTTGCAACACCACTCAGCCTGCTGTCTTCTCAAGTCTCTGCTCCCCAACCCCCTACACGTTCCCCCTGCCCCACCCTGTGCTTCCTCCCATCTTTCACCAAGCTCCTTTCTATTTCTGCTTTCCCGGCCTTCTATCCTGTCCACCCCACCCCATCCACTCTTTCCCTGTTCCCTCTCTTTTCCTCTTCCCTGGTGCCCTGTTCATCTCTGTTTCGATCCCTCTGGCTGCCTGCCCTGGCCCCCTGTCCTTCTGTGCTTTAATGTGGGACCCATGGGAACTGGAGTTCACAGCAAAACAGGAAGAGCCTGTGAGCAGGAAACTGGGAGTGGGGCAGGGTGGGGGAACAACCAGCAGTAACCTCAGCTCCTTGCCTCCCACATCTGGACTGAAGCATCCCCAGGGCTCTCTGCCTCTCCCATTGCAGCCCACCAGCCCTGGCTTCTTCCATCACTGGTCCAGAAGACCTGAGAGGCAACAAGACAGGAGTATCCTGGACTCTGACACAGGAGAAAGAAAGAGCACAGGGACTTGAGTGAGGACATCTGGATTCTGATCCCAGCTTGGTCACTAATTGTGTGTGGTCTTGGAAGAGGCTTTCCCATGAGCTCAGTGTTATTGTACCCTCCCTCCCTCCCTCCTGGGGCTGCTCTGAGGACCAGAAAAGATGGTGACGGGTTTGTATATGGAAGCAAGCACTGGGAGGTTAACAATGTACAGATTCAAGGTGCTGGATACCCATAGCCAAAAGGATTGGGAGGTTAATTATTGCTATAATTTCTTGTACTCTTACTATGTGCCATACATTGTGCTCTGATATATTGTTTAATTCTTTTGACAACCTTATGTGGCAAAAAACATTATTATCCCCATTTTAAAGATAGGAAAACAGGTTCAGAGAAAGTAAGTAACTTGCCTAATCAAGATCATACAGCAAATAAGAGGCAGAGGCAAAGCCAGGATTTGAACCCAAAATCTGAGTTCAGAGCCCAAACACTAAAGCAACTGTGATGCTAAGATGAAACTGACTAGAGCTAACAAGTATAGGATAGAAGAGGATCATATAATTTTTCTTGTTTACTTATTCATTCAACAAACAGGACCACAGTACCTACTCTGTTGTCTACTCTATGCCACGGGAGATAAAATCAATAAAATGAGATGTCTGCGTTCAGGGATGGATGTCATATTCCAGGCAACAGAGCAGGAAGGCATGGCTATAGTCTCAGTAGATGCTGGACAGAGCCTGCCAGCACTTCTGAAGAAATCTTCCCCCGGAGGAGGGAGACTGCATACCCTCTCAGGCCCACCATCCTGGGTGTCATCCAGCTCTATGGTCTCCACACCCGACCCAATCCCAGACCATCCATTGCTGTAGCGACTTCTTACCGGACCCTCCTCCCTTCTCTGTGGCCCCCGCAGGGTACCCACATTCAGAGACTCCCCGGAAGGCCCAGCACCTGCCTGTCTCCACCCCCTGGAGTTACACCAGCTTGACTGAGGCCTGGGGCTAGTGGGGAGAGTTTCTTGGCCCCTTTCCAGAGGCAGGGGAGGAGGAGAAAGGCTGGGAAAGCAGACTGGGGCTCGGTGTCGCAATTCCGGGCCGTCCTGGGACCTTTGCTCCGCGAGGTGTCTGTGGAGGGGAGGGAACGACTCGAGGCTGCCGGGAGTAGGGTGGGGGTGCCCGGGAGGCAGTCCTCTGTAAAAGCAGCTCAGAGCCGCCAGGGTGAGGAGAGGAAGGGGAGAGCCGCGGGAGCCGGCTGGTCTGCAGGGAAATGCGGCTGTCAGGGTTGGGGGTAGGGGCCCGGGTGGCGTTGGGCCTAAGGGGTGGCCGGCCGGCAGGGGGCGGAGTCAGCGCGGTAGGGAAGCGGTCGTGGGCGGGGGCTAGGAGGCCAGGGCTCCAGTCGGTCGGCTCCGGGCTCCTGGCCCCTCTCTTGCTCAGCTCCGGCTCCCCGGCCGCCCCGAGGCCTGTGGACGAGGGACTGCACCATCCTCCTCTCCCAGCAAGGGGGCTCCAGAGACTGCCCCAGCCAGGAAGTCTGGCGGCCTGGGCACTCGGTGGGTCTGCTCCTCAGCACTGGCCTGGGGCTCTGTGTGTGTGTCTGGGGTGGGGGTGGGGGTGTCCTATGGATTTAGAAAGGGGTCTCTGGGGAGAGGGGAAGTATGATGATGGTGTTGGAAGCTCAGGTAGCTACAGCATTCTATTTAAGTCCCAGAATAACTTCTGAGGGGGTAAGGGGAAAGAAGTCCTGTATGTGATTCGGGGTGATTCCCAGAGGCAAGAGTTTTGTCCTGGGACCCTGGAAAGTGGCAAGAGTGAGGTTGTCTAACAACGGGCACGTTCACTTGGTGGAGGGAGCCTCGGTTACATGTTCTGGTTCTGCCCAATTTTGGCTGTTCCCAGTGCTAGAGTGAGGGGGAAGGGGCTCTGACAGAAGCGGGGCAGATGTGGCAAACATTTCCTGACACTCTGGAGGGGACCTGGGGAGAAAAGATGGCATGGTAGCCAAGAGCTTAGACTTTGGGGTCACAGAGACCAGAGCTGGAGTCTTGGCTCTACCACTGCCTAACTGTCTGGCCCTAGGCAATTTTCCTAATGCCTTCGAACCCCAGTTTCCTCATCTGTAAAGTGGGCTTAAGAATAGCCCTGACCTCATAGGGATATTGTGAGGAAGGCATGGAGAACCTTAGCACAGGCTGACACATATATGGCAAGTAAACGTTAGCTGCTATCTTAGTACAGATAAAAGGCAGGATTAGGAGGGGAAGGAGCCCAGTTCTGGAAGAGTATAACCTGGGTCATTCCTGCAGGACAGCCCCTTGGTAATGTCCAGGGCTCCAGGAGGAGATGTCCTTGTGGCTGGAGGCCCCTGTGCCTGATGTAACTCCTGGTAAGCTCCTTCACTCCAGCTCTCTCCCCTAAGTCCAGGCCCCAGCTCCTCTTCTCCCGCAGGAATCAGCTTCCTTTACTCGCTGCCTTCTACCCTCCCCTGGAAAGCAGTCCAGAGCTGTTCCTGGTATTGCTTGCCTCCTGCTCAGACCACCTCTGCGCTGGTTCTGGTGCCTGGTCCTTGGAGATACTGGTCTGTCCTTCTCAATCTGAGCTTGCTCCTGGGGAGACTTGGCATGTCCAATGCTTACCCAGCTTGGCTTTCAAGAGTTGTGTCTGATCTGTGGGATGGATGCACTTCAGCCCCCCCAAGGGGACAAAAGTTAACATCCTCATTTAAGGTACTGAGGTACAGGGGACTACAAGTGACTAGCTCTAGAGCCCACTCAAACCTTAGGGTCCCAGAGCCGGAGCCAACATTTTGCTGCCCTCTACGGGTGGAGATAAGTTTGCAGTTTCCCAGGAGAATGTTGGGGAGAAGAACCAGGACCTGAGACCCACCCTGTGTCTCTTTCGGGGTTCAGATTCTGCAGCAGAGCTGTGGGAGCCAGGTGCACAAGATGCAAGCAGCCGGCCTCTGGGAGGCAGCAACTACATCATCAGTGAGGAAGCCAGCATGCCCCAATCTGCTGGGGGCGCTTCGAGGGTGGGGCTGGAGGCGACAGAGCCCACAGCACTGCTTCCCGGGGTGGAGGCCCCACCAGAGGCCACAGGTGAGGAGTTGTTGGATTTGGAGGAGGTAGGGGCCCCTGGATCTGGGAGGGGTACCTTCAAGGCTCTTTACCGTATAAGATCATGATTCAGTCCAAAGGCTTTGGAGTCAACTAGACCTAAGTGATCTCAGTGTAAATTTTGTTTCTATCTTAGGCCTCCCTGAGCTTCAGATTCCTTATTTGCAAGATGGAAATAATAAGAGTACCTATCTCTTAAGGTTGTTGTAAGATCAGTGCATATAAAGACAGTACCTAGGACATAATAGCACTTGGCATACGAGAGCTACTTTCTTAGAATAGAGACTAGACTGCGTATAATGAAGTGAATGAAGGTCACTGCGTGCTCAGAGCAGTGGCCAAGTGGGCACCAAGCTTTTTCCCTGAAGAAGAACATGAAGGCTCTTCCCTGTATCCAGAGCTCCGTCCACAAAAGCGGAAAAAGGGGCCAGCCCCCAAAATGCTGGGGAACGAGCTGTGCAGTGTATGTGGGGACAAGGCCTCTGGTTTCCATTACAACGTGCTGAGCTGCGAGGGCTGCAAGGGATTCTTCCGCCGCAGCGTCATCAAAGGGGCACGCTACGTCTGCCACAGCGGGGGCCACTGCCCCATGGACACCTATATGCGTCGAAAGTGCCAGGAGTGCCGCCTTCGCAAATGCCGCCAGGCTGGCATGCGGGAGGAGTGTGAGTGTCTGGGGGCCAGAGCAGGAGTGGGGGTGCTTTAGGCTGATGGGAGAGGACGTGGGGGTGCCAGGGTCTGAGGGCAGACAGGCGGCTGAGCCTGTGGGGCCTTCCTCCACAGCCCATAAGTGAGGATTAAAATCTCTTTCTTGTCTTTACCCAATACTCTCTGCTTTTCTGGAACCGCAAATCACCCCTCTGCCCCATCCCTGCTTCCTGTCTCCCCCTCCCCTCCTCACATCTGGCTCTGTTCTTAGGTGTCCTGTCAGAAGAACAGATCCGCTTGAAGAAACTGAAGCGGCAAGAGGAGGAACAGGCTCAGGCCACATCTGTGCCCCCAAGGGCTTCCTCACCTCCCCAAGTCCTGCCCCAGCTCAGCCCAGAGCAGCTGGGCATGATTGAGAAGCTGGTGGCTGCTCAGCAGCAGTGTAACAGACGCTCCTTTTCTGATCAGCTTCGAGTCACGGTACAGGAGGGACCTGGGGAAAGGTAGCTGTGCCGTAAGCAAGTCGGTTTCTTTATATCTGGCTCAGAGTGGTTTGTTTTTTCTCTCCCTGCCATTCTGGGTAGCCTTGGCCCATGGCACCAGATCCCCAGAGCCGGGAGGCCCGTCAGCAACGCTTTGCCCACTTCACTGAGCTGGCCATCGTCTCTGTGCAAGAGATCGTTGATTTTGCCAAACAGCTGCCGGGCTTCCTGCAGCTCAGCCGGGAGGACCAGATCGCCCTCCTGAAGACCTCTGCAATTGAGGTGGCTGGCATGGCCGAGGGTGAAGGGAGGATCAGAGTGGGCTGTCTGGTCTGTGGGAGGGGCCTTTAGACCAACAGCTGGGAAACCACATCCACTGGGAAGCAGGGATGAGGGGCTTGACCTTTCCTTGAAGGTGCCAGGCCGAGAGTAGCCTGCCAAGTCCTTTTTTGAGGTCTGCTACTTGAATGCAGGTTATGCTTCTGGAGACATCTCGGAGGTACAACCCTGGGAGTGAGAGTATTACCTTCCTCAAGGATTTCAGTTATAACCGAGAAGACTTTGCCAAAGCAGGTGAGAACTGAGATCACAAAGGTATTGGGTCAGATGAACAAGATGCTTTTTGTCATGGGGCCGATAGTGACTACAGAGCTATATAGGCCCAGGGTTTGAGTGGCTGTAAAGGGAAGGCTCCACTGTGTTCACAAGACAGAGAGTTGAAGTCCTGAGAGGCCTGCCTCCCTTAACTGCCCCCAATGCCTCTGTTGCATTAGGCCAGTGGTTCTCAAACTGTGTTCCCAGGAACCTGATGGGGGGGGCAGTTTCCATGGAAGTGCCCCCTTAGAGGAGAAATAAAGAGGCACAGGCATGTCCTTCATCTTAACTTTAGCCAAACAAGAAGCTCCATTTAAATCTGTATTGTATATTGTGCTTCTGCATTACATTTTGCTTGAGGGAAAGATTTTACATCTCGGGGAAAAAAAAAGCTTGAAAACCTCACCGAGCCTTTCAGCAATCAGTGATGAAAAAATCTTTCTCAGATATGCATGTTCTTTAAGGATCAGGTGGACTGATTTCCTCCTTTTCTTTTCTTTCTTTCTTTTTTTTTTTACAATGTATCAGTTTCTAGTGTACACCTTAATGTTTCAGTCATCCATATACATACATATATTCATTTTCATATTTTTCATTATAGGATACTATAAGATATTGAATACAGTTCCCTGTGCTATATAGTAGAAAATTGTTTATCTATTTTATATATAGTAGTTAGTATCTGCATGATTTCCTCCTTTTTAATTGCTCTCTCTGAGGAGCCATGGAATTGGAGTTAAACATGGTAGACATGTCCAGATGCGGCAGTTTTAGGATAAGAGTGAACACTTCTATCCCCATCCTGGACCTGGAGTACTTTCCCCAGGAAGTAGTTCACGATGCTGTTCTCTATCTGATACTTGCTTGCAGGCTAAGCAGTGTTGGTTTCCTTGTATTCGATTACTGGTGATGTTTGAATTATGGGAGCACGGCTGGGAAAGGATGGAAGGCTGAAGGTGTTTTGGAGGGTCATGCCTGAGGCTGATTGAGAGACTGAGAGATTTAACACCTGAGTGAGTGGGTCTGTAAAATATGGCTGATGCTGACTCCATTCTTAGGTTTGGAGAATCCTGGTCTCCAGGGCAGAGCTCACAAAGGGTTCCGGTGACTCAGGCCAGCTCTTGTCCTATCACAGGCCACCCAGTGAGCTTTCTAGGTAGGTCTCCCTTAGCTATAGGGCACATCAGGGCTGTGTTAGCACCTCTTGCCTTCTGTAGGGCCAGGTGTACTGCCTAAATGTATAGGCACATAATAGGAATGATGTGATGAATTTTTCCAGCTTTAAAAGCCCAGTCCTGCCCCCTTTCTCTACCCAACCGCCTCTTCTCCAGATGGTTAATATCCCAGTCCTTCTTAACCGCGGCCTTCTCCTTCATAACATCCTCCTTTCTGCATCCTTCCCTGTTCTTACATCGGCTTGTTCCTTCAGCACTTGAGGACTTGTGCCATCTGAATCTGTACCTTTTTATAGATTCAATTATATCAGCAGTTTTTATCTCATCACATATGTCTTTCATTTTCATTTTGTCAGTAGGGTCTTGTGGAGAAGGGACAGAGGTGCTCTTTGGTCAGGGCTCCCTCCTGCTCTTCATCCACTACCATATGCTGCATGTGTGGATGACTCACGGTGTGAACTGATGGCACTGGAGGCATTCACAGCGAGCAGGAGCAGACCCTCACAGGCGGCGCAACTCTAGAACCTGCTCGTCCTCTCTGTACAAGGGGCTGTTCAACACAATTCAAGGCTCAATACTTCACCAAGAAATGCTTTCTAAATGGGGCTTGTTCAGTAAATAGATCAACATACACTTGATAAACAACGGGGTGAAAGTACAGGAAGTGACTAATCAAGAAGTCTCGAATGGAAAAGTTAGCAGATGGTTGCTAAAAGAAGTCTGAGAAAGCCGAGGGGACAGTGTGGGGCAGGGAGACTTCGACAGTGCCTATGGGAAAGCTGTTCTCTAGATGTCACCACTTCAGGTCGTGGTTTATTGAACTTCAGCCTCCTCAGTGAGAAGGCTGGTTCTATTTTTTTTAATGTATTATTTATTTAACAAACACTTACATGTTAGTTACTATATGTGCCACTTATTAGTCTAAGGACCCATTATGAGGTAGGTACTATTATTATCTCCATCCTAGAGATGGGAAAACCAAGGCCCAGAGAGCTTAAATAACTTACCCAAGGTCACACAGCCTAGTAAATGGTAAAGCCATGACTCAAACCCAGGGAGTCCAGTGTCAGCATCCACACCCTCAACCACATTGCTCTGTTTCCCCTGTGATGTGAAACATGAAATGTATAATTAGTATTCAAATAAGTAAGGCCAATTGCTGGTGAAGAAGTCTTTTTATAAACAAATATAAGGGTTGCCTCTATTTCTAGTAATGTGAGGCTTTCAAGAATCCTAATAAGAATTCTAACAGAATTATTATTTATTTAATTCAGCACCTCCTATGTGCTGGGCACAGGGGAAAGTGCTCCGTATGCTTTATCATTTAACCATCACAACAGTTTTTTTTTTAAATTGAAGTATAGTCAGTTTACAATGTGTCAATTTCTGGTGTACAGCTTAATGTTTCAGTCATACATATACATGCACATATTCGTTTTTATATTTTTCATTATAGGTTACTACATGATATTGAACATAGATAGCTCCCTGTACACAGCAGTTTAATAAGTTCAAATATGATTCCCTTCTCACAGATGAGGCTTAGAGAGGTTAACAAACTTGCTCAAGGTTACACAGCAGAGCCTGGAGACTTCTTACTGAGCTCCTGGTAGTTTCCTAAATTGAGCAATGCTGCCCATGCCACACACTCCAGCCTCTCTTCCTCCCTCCCTAGGGCTGCAGGTGGAGTTCATCAACCCCATCTTTGAGTTCTCCAGAGCCATGAATGAGCTGCAGCTAAATGATGCTGAGTTTGCCTTGCTCATTGCCATCAGCATCTTCTCTGCAGGTGAGGAAGAGGGGCAAGAGGGAAAATTGAGCAAGAGACTTGCATCAGAGAGGGCTGTAGGCCTCATCAGGCAGGAATCATGGGGGTGGAGGCCCTTGCTGTGCTACTTTGGGATGGGAGAGGTTGGGTAGGGCATGTCCCTATTTTGTGGTTGTGATTTGGGGTATGGAAGTAAGACCCTGGCCAGACCTGCTACTCAACTTTGTTGGTGACCTATAGACCGGCCCAATGTGCAGGACCAGCTCCAGGTAGAGAGGCTGCAACACACATATGTGGAGGCCCTGCATGCCTACGTCTCCATCCACCACCCCCATGTGAGTCTCCCCACCATTCCCCTTTTCCTGCTCTCATAGGCTTATCCCCTGACATTCCTACTTGCCCTTCAAGAATCCCTCCCTGACTACATTGTGCACAGACAATTCTCTGTCTCTCCTACAACTCCCCTACCATTGCCCCTCTTCCCTGGGGAGAGACAAAGGCTGTACTTGTCTTCTTTCCCAGGACCGACTGATGTTCCCACGGATGCTAATGAAACTAGTGAGCCTCCGGACACTGAGCAGCGTCCACTCAGAGCAAGTGTTTGCACTGCGCCTGCAGGACAAAAAGCTTCCCCCACTCCTCTCTGAGATCTGGGATGTGCATGAATGACTGTTCTTCCCCTGTATCTTCTGTTTTCTGGTCTGGATGGCTGAGGACTAGTGGCTGCCTCCTAGAGGTGGAGCCGACTGAGAAGGGCAAACATTCCTGAGGGCTGGGGAAAGGAGATCCTCACGTGGCATTAAAGGAGAGTCAAAGGGTTGGGAGTTTTGTGGCTGCTGGGTAGTGGAGACCCTGCTAAAACAATGCTCCCTGTGAAGACTGTACTAACCCGGCCAAATGGATGAACCTGGGGGCCACTTTGCACAAGGTTCTCCAGGGCCCTGCCCATCCTGCCTCTACCACTTCCTGTTTTCCCCACAGGGCCCCAAGAGAAATTCTCCACTGTCACTCTGGGGCTTGGCCAAAAATGCCTCAAGGCTGCCTCACTGATAGGTCTGGCACTGTTTGTACAGGAAGACCAAAATGAATACAGAATGAGAGAAACCAATTTCTGGAATGGGGGTGGGGGCCCGGGAATAGAGGAGGGAATCCTGTGTCTTTTAGGATCTGCCTCCAGACTCAGAGGAGGGAGACAAGTCACAAGTGACAGCCTTGGCAGTGAGAGAGGGACCTCCTTTTACTAGCCCCATTGCTCCATAAGGATCAATGAAATGCTGAGGCGAAGATGACCCCTTCCAGTTCAATGATCCAGGTGCGATCCTGTTGGAGGTGGGTGTTGGATTTTCCGAACTAATGCCACAGTCTCGCACCTGTGTTCGTGCCCGCGTAGTCTTGGTTTTTCCGTTGACATCTGAACAAGAAGGTACAACAGTCCTACCACTCGGCCCGCAGGCCCTGTGGGTCAGGAAGAAAAGTCCCCTGAGGCCAAGGGGGGGACTGCCCTGTCTCCGGCTTAGCCTCTCCGAACGGCTGGACTCCATTTCCCAGCGGGCACCACGGCGCCGCTCACGCCCCCTTCCTTGGAGCGCGCCCGTGTAGGTGATTCCGAGGCAGCGCCTTCCGGCCTCAAGTCCCCCCGCCGCCCCTGAATTGGTAGGCCCCACCGCCGCGGCCGCCGGCTTTCCTGCCTTGGCGGCTGGGCACTTCCAAAGCGCGAGCGGGGGGAGGGAGGTGAGGTGAAGGGGGAGGTCCAGAAGGTCTCAGGGGCAGCTTATCTTGAGAAGTCGCTTCCAGGTTACTCCACAGTTCATCGAAATGGGCTGTATTACCGTGTCGAATTAAAATCTGTTTGCACAACCTAAACAAAAAGTATTCCTTTGGGTCCTCCCCTTGGCACGTAGAGGCGGTGGGCTGGCCCAGCGCGCCCCGTCGTCTTCCCATTCCCACACGGATAGGTGTGTGCGTAGCCGCCTTTCTCCCGCGGTCGGCTCCGCCCTTCAGCGCTCGGCTTGGTGCAGTCCTGACCCCCGGGGGTGAATGGTACGGCCCCGGCCCCCCTCAGCCTCCCCCTCTCTCACCGCGTCGGAGCGGTACTCGCCCCCCAGTGCAGACGCGGAACTGGCGCGCTCTCGAAGCCGCGGTCGCGCAGGGGAGCGACTGACGCTCGGCTGCCGGGGTTCGCCTGGCGGAGCCTGGCAGGTTCCCCGAGGCTTGGGAGGTAGGAAGGTCTGGGCCACTGAGGGTTCTGGAAGAGTGTTTGGGACGGGGCTCCTCGGGGGAAACAGGCTCTGAGAGGAAACGGGCTCTAGAGGGAAGGGGCCTCTATGGAGGCCCTAAAGGAGTTTGTGTGGGGAGTCTCGAGAGGGAGAGCGGGGGGATCCGTGAAGAAGGGGGTGGGGCTAGAGGTGGGGGCTTTCGGGCCGCGGGTTGCGAGCCTGGGCGCAGCTCGTGGCTGCGGGGCTAGATTCCTGCGGGGCTGGCGGGCGGCCCTGGTTCCGGGGCGGGGGCGAACTGTCCAGCAGGTGAGGAGGCGGGCAGAGCTGTCCAGCTAGGGGACCGAGCCGGGCTAAGCACATGGCGCGCGTGTGTGCGTGTGCCCGTGCATGTGCCCGTGCGTGTGTGTGTGTGTGTGTGATACATTTTTGGGGTTTTAGGGTTTGGAGAAGCATGTTTGGTTCTTAAAAATTTTTTTTTAATTTGGTGTTTCAAAATTGACTTGCTGGAGAGGGAGACGCGGTTCAATCTTTCCTGTTACTGCTTCCATCCCCATTCTCTTGCATCTCTAAATTCGTCCTCCTTTTCCTGCCCACCTCAACTCTGCCTATTGCCTGCCTCCTTGCTCTCATTCTTCCCCGAGCTGGACCAGTCTGCTGAAGCGCTTGCAAGGTCACTGCCTGGGGAGGAGGTGGAGGGGAGCCTTCTGTTGTGCTCACGTCAGCAAAGATGTCATATCGCTCTCCGGTTCCTGTGGTTTTACTATGACATCTTGCCTAAAACGACGGACGAACCCAAAGGGTTGGTTAATGTGCCCATTTGTAAGCTGAAAAGACATCGATAACTTAAAGGTCTGTGGATTCTAAATCTGTACTTGCATGGAGTGGATGATAATTGTGTAGGACTTCAGCAGATAGGTATGCGTTTTGAGCTTGATGCTTTTGGAATATAGTAGCTAGGAAACGAGGAGCTGCATGTTAGTAAATACGGTTGAGGCAGGAGGCAGAGTCTTGAGTCTGGATGGACATAAAGACAGAATGTGAGTTATAGGTAGTTGGAAGATTTAGAGTCTTTGTAAGGAGGGAAGAGAATGGGAAGAAAAGCCTTGGTTATCTCTGCAATCTGAATAACCGAAGGCAGTGGCTGTTGATGAGATATGAA